AAACTTTGTCTTCAAAATAAGGGTGCGTCTTATATTCCGTAAAATACGGTAGTTTTCTAAATATTAACCTAGCAGACCATCTCATTTTACACTCTACAACATATTCTATCCGCATATATAACTTCCATTAACACAATTCACTGCTATATACATACACACACATACATATATGATACTGTAAATACAAAGAAACGGTTGAAATAGCAGTTAAAACAAAAACTAAATGAGCAACACAATAAGTTGGTAAACGTTTCGGCGACTCGTCCACCTTGATGGAGATCGCGCGATTATTATTCCCGAGATGTTAACTACTTTTTGGATTTTCAGATTTTATCGCAGTACAGATACGTTTGTTACATCCGATCAAGTACCTTCAAAACAAAGTATCCACGTTTTAAACCACTTTGCAACTTTCGTAAACTGGTTACGTGTGCATCACTTATAAGTAACTTTTCACTTACGGTGTTACAAAGTCTTCTTCAGGGTTGAGATGAGAACTAAAAGAATGTATAAAAATCAACACCTTCAGTTTAACACTACATTGATTGGGTTAACGGAGAGTGAGAACAGCACCTCTTACTTACGGTGGACGTCTTTTTCACAGTGTCAGATGAGAACCACAGTAAGCCTCTTCCAATTTCAGGTTGTTAGTTACACTATCGCAGGGTAGTTTTAACATTCCTCACCGCCAGTATGGCCAACCCACACACGCGAAATGAAAAAGCCGTTCAACGTACCGGCGCTACGGCGGATGTTCCTCCCGTACAAGCACGCTGATTGCTCTGCCCCTGTCTTAGACTTTGTTTCATTACGCACCACATTTACAGACACACGTTGCAATTCACGAGGTCGTGAGCACAACACACAATCACAAAACATACCGCGCACCCCGCGAGCGGGAAAGCAGCACAGGAGGAGAGGACGAGCCCAGTATTTTAGCTGGAGGTAGAAACTCTAAAACCAGTGTTGAAAATATGCAGATAAACAAAAAAGAAAAAAAAAACGAACAGTTACTGGCAACCGTTTGAAAGAAAATAACCAGGAAGCCATAATTAATTAATCATAATTACTAAGTAAAACGGAACATTTTCAAATACCAAATTTATCAAAGATGGTAAATGAATATATATACATATATATTGCGAACCGTGGTGTCTGTTCGAGCGTTCGTCTGTCTCCCGTTTGAAAAGCTGAGCACGCAGGCAAAGCTAAACATTAACTTTGGAAATGACAAGAGAACAGGCATGAATAATGTTGATGTTAAATTTTATTTCACAAGCAGGATATTCTACAATAAATTGTTAGGAGTTAATCACACTATCATTCACATTTCAAAATGTGACGTAACTTAGATAATAAAAAATGTAGATTTACCGTATATTATTGTTGAGCTGCTCTTAGCATGACTGAAACGCTCAACAATTACCTTTCGTGGTTGGCGGTATAAGTAGCTCAGAGCTTTGGCTCTAAGTGAAACCAAGAATGCAAGACAATTAACCGTTTTAAAGTTCATGAAGTAGTTTAAATTGTTAAATTAACTTAAACCTTTCCCGTCACTGGGGACGGGCACTTTTGCTTGTATATACATAACGTGGGGAATTATTTAATATTGTAGTGTTTTATCAAACTCTTCAGCATTACAAATACTGCTAGTTTTATCTTTAATAATTTACAGTTATCGTATTACCGCTGTAGCAATAAACATTTTTAACATAAATGTGATCACTTAAACTATTAATTTCTTGTGGTGCAGAAACTTTATTCAAAAATACATTTATTTTCATACACTCTTCTACCCTAAAGCAGATAATGTCATAATGGACATTCCTGTCTGATATTATACTGGGATGATACACTTCTATTGGAATCACATAATGTAATAACATCATAATAGATACTTATATCAAACAACATAGTGACAGAAACTTCTAACCGACATCACGTTAAGATAGAAACTTCTAACCGACATCATGTTAAGATAGAAACTTCTAACCGACATCATGTTAAGATAGAAACTTCTAACCGACATCATGTTAAGATAAAAACTTCTACCCGACATCATGCTGGAATATAAACTTTTAACCGACATCATGTTAAGATAGAAACTTCTACCCGACATCACGCTGGAATAGAAACTTCTAACCGACATCACGTTAAGATAAAAACTTCTAACCGACATCACGTTAAGATAGAAACTTCTAACCGACATCATGTTAAGATAGAAACTTCTACCCGACATCACGCTGGGATAGAAACTTCTAACCGACATCACGTTAAGATAAAAACTTCTAACCGACATCATGTTTAGATAGAAACTTCTAACCCACATCACGTTAAGATAGAAACTTCTAACCTACATCACGTTAAGAATAAAAACTTCTAACCTGCATCACGTTAAGATAAAAACTTCTAACCTGCATCACGTTAAGATAAAAACTTCTAACCGACATCATGTTTAGATAGAAACTTCTAACCTACATCACGTTAAGATAAAAACTTCTAACCTACATCACGTTAAGATAAAAACTTCTAACTGACATCATGCTGGAATAGAAACTTCTAACCCACATCAGGCTGGGATAGAAACTTCTATATATATATACGAACACAACCTTTAACTTACCTCTTGACACACACACACATCATCACAACTTTTAACTTGCTTACCTCTTGACACACACGAACACAGCCTTTAACTTAGCTCTTGACACACACACACACCATCACAATTTTTAACTTACTTACCTCTTGACACACACGAACACAACCTTTAACTTACTTACCTCTTGATACACACGAACACAACCTTTAACTTACTTACCTCTTGACACACACGAACACAACCTTTATTTAACTTACCTCTTGACGCACACAGAACTTCTCACGTGAGAGACACGGATTCAACTTTTATTTCATTTTTACATACGAACAACTTGAATTTTACCTTTTCTAAAAATGGATACAACCCTTATGTTTAATACTTCAAGAAATAAAGCAGCACGTGAAGTACTTTACACCTAACCCCTCACCTCACATTGTGGGCGTAGAGTTTGCTATATATATTAAATCTTCCAGTTTAACATACACGCAAATCGTAACCTGCAACGGGTGGTGACTGGAGCAGCTCTGCATATTAAATGCTTGGATAGCAACAACTTTGAAATACGAAAGATCTCTACCCCCCCAATGTAAAATCAATAATGATATCGAGCGCCTCTAAACGTTACAACGTATTTATATACAATAATACGGTGTGCGAAAGAAAGTCTTGCCTTTTTTTTTTTTTTACTTTCCCAGTTTCTAGCGATTGCATTTTCTTATCGTTACATTTGTTTCAAATAATTCAATTAGAAATATTTTATCAAATCCGTGTTTAAAATCTTACCTTTTTTATAGATAACAGCTGCATCTCTGCAACTATAAAAAAAAAAAAGATATATATATACCGTTAACCCTAAAGCCACCAAAATGTACCACACTGGCCGCACACTACTATAAACTATTTATGCACCGAATTGTTTGTATGTCTGTAGCCCCAATAACATACGAGACATAAAACAAGATGTAAGCAAAAATTTCAAAATAAAATTGCAATTACTACAACTATAATAACTGCTATTTTACTTGGAAAATGAATGGTTTTACTCTACTTGTTTTATAATTATTTGCTTATTATTGTTATTTAAACCAGTCTTTACACCGAGTGCTGAAACGGGGAAAAAACAAAACTTCTTAATATGTGGACCCCACCTATAGTAAAAATGGTAATTTGAAGGTTTACTGGATAATATTTCAATAGTTCAACGAGTTATTCTAACTTTCTAGTGCCGACCTCAGTGAGCGCGAGGCCCAAAAGAAAGCGCTCGTGACGTCACGCTGAAAAAATGAACTTAAAAGTCATTAGCAGTTCTCATTATTGTCCGTGTGTTTGTTACCTCCACAAACAGCACACGAATACGGCACTGTGCGCATAAATGTACCCTTTGTTTTGGATAACGAATGTGTTTAAGTTTCGTTTCAGGAAGAAACTTGAGGTTAGAATTCAGTTACACGCATTTCCTTAACATTACAAGAATGACCTATCTGATTTCTTCAAACAAATTATTTACTTAGTATCCGACCCCCCCCCAACCACACCCAAAAAGAATAAAAAAGAAAAGTAAATGCTTTGACAAGACTAAACATGGCTGTGTTTGTATACCATAAAATGACTGTCACTATTATTCTATACTCACAACCTCAAAATTGCAGAAAGCGTTTTGCGGCAACGAGACGCGAACCATGACCCCTCGTATTCACAGACCAGGCACGCAAACTAATAAGCCACAGTGGTCCCTTTGAGAGGTAGAATACAGGTACAAACTATATTCTTACCCACGGAAATTGTCTGTCTGTCTATACATTTATATAAAATGAAAGAAAAAAAAACGCTACCACGTTTACCAGCATCAGATTGTTTCCTGTCAATCTTCAAAACAGAACCAAACAATAAGAATGTGAAAAAAAAACGCTACCACGTTTACCAGCATCAGATTGTTTCCTGTCAATCTTCAAAACAGAACCAAACAATAAGAATGTGAAAAAAAAACGCTACCACGTTTACCAGCATCAGATTGTTTCCTGTCAATCTTCAAAACAGAACCAAACAATAAGAATGTGAAAAAAAAACGCTACCACGTTTACCAGCATCAGATTGTTTCCTGTCAATCTTCAAAACAGAACCAAACAATAAGAATGTGAAAAAAAAGAACAAACACACACAAAACATGAAATATATTACAATCCCAATAGCCAATAAAATTTATATCATCGCAGAACGGATATTGACAATCAGATATACCATCGTAAAACGGATACTGTCATCCAACGAGACGTGTTTTCTCTTCGGATGACTGGTTTTTATAAGCCACTTACTCCTTTCGGTGATAGAGCGAGGGTCGACAACATAATATAACATACTCATATTAGTCTGACTCAGAACGACCTCCACATGACTTCACGTTGAAACCCAAAACCAAGTTACCATGGTTTTTCTAGTACAAAACTTATTTTAGATTTTCTCACGTAATTTAAACACACTACATAATTATTCCTTTCCAAGCGTGAAATTCTCCAGTTTAACTGGTTTATGTACGAAAAGTGTTTGATCACACCAGTTGCAAAAATTGGAGAGTATAAATTATCTAGTAGTCCCCCCCCCCCCTGACGCTGTGGTTATTGTCCCGCCCTGGGAACAAGATTAGCTTTGACGATTCGCCAGTTCTTCTAACTGATACTAAAGTTAACTCAAGTAAAAATAATGAGAATGAATAACATTGTTTCTATGGAACGAAAATGTAGTTTGAATATAAAAAATAAAGACGGCTGATGCAATACCATTCATTTAAACAAACGCTTAGTATTGTATTTAATTCATATTCACAGCTCGTGAAAAAAATATATATATACTTACACTATTTTTATTTTCTAGAACACGCTGGAGATGGATTAAATAAAATTCGAAACGTTCGTTTAAGTAAGTAATTATTTATTGCATCAACAGTTTTTATTTTTAACTCAAATAATATTGTATTATTCATTCTGATCCTAAAACCTGACTTCTAAATGAATCAGATAAAACTGATAAAAAT